TAAGATAAAATATAAGCAAAATGGATAATAGAAAAACAATAAAGAAACTCAATGAAACCTAAATATTTTGAAATACCAACAAAATTTAGTAGAGCATGTGCACTTTCCTTGTACACAGTTGACCCAGGTCCAATTCCTGGTATGCCATATATTCCCCTGAACCCCACCAATAATTATTCCTTAGTAAAGAGCGAGGAGTAAGCCTTGAGTGCAGTTAGATCTGTACACCAAATCCTAAAATATTATTTTTCCACAGAGAAATGCATATTTTTAAAGAACAAAATACAAATTTCAATATCTGGGGGCTGGAGCGATAGCACAGTGGGTAGGGCATTTGCCTTGCACATGACCGACCTGGTTTCAATTCTCAGCATCCCATATGGTCCCCTGAGCTCTGCCAGGAGTGATTCCTGAGTGCAGAGCCAGGAGTAAGCCCTGAGCATCGCCGGGTGTAAACCCCACCCCCAAAAAGCAAAAAAAAAAGCAATATCTGAAATTCAAAATTCTCTTAACAGGACGCAGATAATAAGGAATCGGTAGCACTCTAGCACTATCCTCTCATTGTTCATCGATTTGCTCAAGCGAGCCCAATAACAAGTGAGACTTGTTACTGTGGTTGGCATATCGAATATGAGACTTGTTACTGTGGTTGGCATATCGAATATGTCACGGGGACCTTGCCAGGCTTTGCCGTGTGGGCAAGATACTCTCGGAATCTTCCCGGGCTCTCCAAGTAGGGTGGAGGAATCAAACTCGGGTTGGCCCTGTCGGCAGCATGCAAGGCAGACGCCCTATCGCTGTGTTATTGCTCCAGCCCAAGGAATCGGTAAGCTTGAAAATTAGTAGAGGGAATTCTGTTTAGAAAACCCTGTGGGATTCTTCTTTCACTCTTTCCTTTTCCTTCTATCTTAAAAAATCTCTTACGAATATTGCCATTAAAATGAAAGAAAAGTAAGAGTCTCCATATTAATTTTCTTTGCCACCTATTAGGGTTTTTAGGGGTTTCATTACTTTCAAATAGATTTTTTTTAATACAAGGAATCATTTAGTGGTGGTGAAATCCTTTTCCTGTTTGTCTGAAAAACTTTTTATTGCATATTAAGTATGATTGATAACCTAATTGAGTTGAATATTCTTGGTTGTGGGTTTTTTTTTCCCCATTCAGCGTTTAGTATACATCATGCCTCTCCTTTCTGTCTGAACGTTTCTTTATAACAACCCGATAATCTCATGGTGGTTCCTTTATATATGATTCTTTGCTGTTATTTTAATACTTTTAGGATTTTCTTTAACTTTGATGTTTTGCCATTTTATATTATCTCATAGAGTGCATCTACTTGGGTTTATTTTGTTTGAAATTTTTGAGCTTCCTGGATCTGGGTATCTAAATCCTCAGCTTGAGGAAGTTCTTGACTATTATTTTTTCAAATACGAATGCTGCCTGTAATACATCAAAAATACTGGAAACAATGTGATAAAAAAGGAACACTCATCACCATTCATGGTGTACACTTCCCACCACAATGTCCAGAGTTTCTGGAGAGAGATCCACCTCACCCCCAGCCTGTCTCTATTGCAGGCACTTTCCTTCTCTCCCTCCTTCCCTCCTTTTGAGCATTTATGGAATATAAAAAAGCATAATATCAGACTAATATCCAAGGTCAGTAGAAACAAGAGCCAGGAGTACCTGAATAGACCCCTTCACATCAAGGAAATTGAAACTGTAATCAAAAGTCTTCCCAAAATCAAAAGCCCAGGTCCAGATGGATTCACTAGCGAATTTTTCCAAACATTTAAAGAGGACCTACTGCCAGTTCTTCTCAAGCTTTTCCAGAAAATTGAAAAAAACAGAAACTCTCCCAAACAGTTTCTATGAAGCCCATATCTCTCTAATACCAAAAGGAAACAAAGACACCACAAGAAAAGAAAACTACAGGCCGATATCCCTGATGAACACGGATGTGAAGATTCTCAACAAAATACTAGCAAATAGAATTCAGCAACTCATCAAAAAGATCATGCACCACGACCAAGTGGGATTCATCCCGGGGATTCAAGGATGGTTCAACATTCGGAAATCAATCAACATAATCCATCATATCTATAAAAGAGAAGATAAAAACCATATGATCATATCAATAGATGCAGAGAAAGCATTTGACCAGATCCAGCACCCATTTATGATGAAAACCCTCACCAAAATGGGGATAGAGGGGACTTTCCTCAAAATACTTAAAGCCATCTACCACGAGCCTACAGCAAACATCATCCTCAATGGGGAAAAACTGAGAGCCTTCCCCCTAAGATCAGGGACGAGACAAGGATGCCCACTCTCTCCACTGCTGTTCAATATAGTAGTGGAAGTACTTGCAATAGCGAATAGGAAAGAAAAAGATATTAAGGGCATCCAGGTAGGGAAGGAAGAAATCAAGCTCTCACTAGTCGCAGATGATATGATACTATACCTAGAGAACCCTAAAACCTCTACCAAGAAACTCCTAGAAACAATAGACTTGTATAGTAAGGTGGCAGGCTATAAAATCAATACCCAAAAATCCATGGCTTTCCTATACCCAAATAGTGGAAGAGAAGAAAGTGACATGAAGAAAACAATCCCGTTCACAATTGTGCCCCAGAAAATCAAGTACCTGGGAATCAGCTTATCTAAGGAAGTAAAGGACCTGTACAAAGAAAACTACAAAACGCTACTTCAGGAAATAAAAGAGGACACGAGGAAATGGAAAAATATCCCCTGTTCATGGATCGGGAGAATTAACATTGTCAAAATGGCAATACTTCCCAAAGCACTGTACAAATTCAATTCTATCCCTGTTACGATACCCATGACATTCTTCAAAGAAATGGAGCAAACACTCCTGAAATTTATATGGAACAATAAGCACCCGCGAATAGCTAAACCCTTTCTTGGGAAAAAGAAAATCGGAGGAATCAACCTCCCTAACTTCAAGCTCTACTACAAAGCAGTAATAATTAAAACAGCATGGTACTGGAACAAAGGCAGAGCTGAAGACCAATGGAACAGAGTTGAATATGCTGACATCTCCTCCCAAGCATATGATCATCTAATCTTCCATAAGGGGGCAGGAAAAGTGAATTGGAGCAAGGAAATCCTCTTTAACAAATTGTGCTGGCAAAACTGGACGGCTACATGCAAAAAAGTGGGCTCAGATCTCCCTAACACCATGCACAAATGTAAGATCAAAATGGATTAATGACCTCAGCATCAGACAGGAATCCATAAAGTTCATTGAAGACAAAGTTGGCAAAATCCTCCATGATATTGAAGCTAATGGTATCTTCAAAGATGTCACGCCACTAGCCAAGCAAGTGAAAACAAATGGGACTATCTTAAACTAAGAAGCTTCTGCACCTCAAAAGAAACAGTGACCAAAAGACAAAGACAGTGTACAGAATGGGAAAGAATATTTACCAAATCCACATCGAACAAGGGGTTGATATCAAGGAAATACAAGGTACTGGTTGAACTTCACAAGAGGAAAACACCCAAACTCATCAGAAAATGGGGCGAGGAAATGAATAGAAACTTTCGCAAAGAAGAAATTGAATGGCTAAAAAGCACATGAGAAAATGCTCTACATCACTAATCATCAGGGAGATGCAGATCAAAACAAGAATGAGATATCATTTCACACCACAGAGACTGGCCCACATCCAAAAGAACAAAAGTAACCGGTACTGGCACGGATGTGGCGAGAAAGGGACACTCCTTCACTGCTGGTGGGAATGCCGACTGGTTCAGCCCTTCTGGAAAACAGTATGGATCATTCTCAAAAAATTAGAAATTGAGCTCCCATTTGAACCAGCAATACCACTCCTGGGAATATATCCCAGAGAGGTAAAAAAAGTGTAGTCGAAGTGACATCTGCACTTGTTTGTTCATTGCAGCACTCTTTACAATAGCCAGAATCTGGAAAAATCCTGAGTACCCAAGAACAGATGACTTGTTAAAGAAACTCTGGTACATTTACACAATGGAGTACTATGTAGCTGTTAGAAAAGATGAAGTCATGAAATTTACATACAAGTGGTACTACATGGAAAGTATCTTGTTAAGCGAAATGAGTCAGAAAGAGAGGGATAGACACAGAAAGATTGCATTCATCTGTTGAACATAAAGTAACAAAATGGGAGCGTAACTCCCAGGAGTGGCAGAGATTAGTACCAGGAATTTTGCTCCATGACTTGGAGGCCAGCCACATGTGCTAGGGGGAAAGGAAGCTCAGATAGGGAAGGGAGCACCAAATAAAGTGTGTTGGGAGGATCCTCCCAGGATGGGAGAAGCATGCTGAAAATAGACTATAGGCCAAACATGATTGCCACTAAATGTCTCTCTTGCAAACCCCAGGATCCAAAAGGAGAGAGAGAGAATAAAAGGGAATGCCCTGCCACAGAGGTTAGGGTGGGATGGGGGGCCGGGCGGTGGGAGGGAAGCTGGGACACGTAGTAGTGGAGGATGGGCACTGGTGGAGAGATGGGTACTTGATCATTGTATAGCTGAAACCCAAGCACAAAAATTTGTGAGTCTACAACTGTACCTCATGATGTCTCACTAATAAAAATTTTTAAAAATTAATATTGACCGTATCGTAAACCATGGTAACTAAAAACAAAGTCTTCCCCTCTGTCAAGAATGTTGCTGAGCAGTAATGCATGTTCCTGGCATTACAAAAAATTATGCAAAAAGTTCTTAAATAGTAATACATAAAATTAAAATTGAAAAACAAAGAATCTGTGCTGGAGAGTTGGCACAACAGGCTGGATCTCATGCTTTGCATCTAGGAAGCTCATATTAGATCCCCAGTTCCAGTCAAAACCAGAAGTAAACTCTAAGCAGTGAATTCCGTATGACTTCTAGATGCTTATTAATTCCTATTTAAATATATCAAGAAAACTTAAAATGTAACAGAAATACTTTTTTTCAGTTTTGGTCCAGTACTCTCCAAATTTTTCAGTCCGAGTGATGTTACTGATGTATGACAGAATCTAATACCAATTAAGTGGTGATAGCTTTGCCAATGAACAAGAATATGATCTTCTATGGCCAGGAAGGAAACTTGTACACCTGACAAGTTCCAAAAATATAAGGAATAAAACTGAAGTTTTTATGGGGCCAGGGAGATAGTACAGTCGGTAAGGCACTTACCTTGCATATACCCGATCTATCCCCAGCATCCCCCACGTCCCTCCACCCCCCAGCTTTCCAGGAATGATTCCTAAGTATAGAGCTAGGGGTAGCCCCTAAGCACCAGAAGGTGTGACCCTAAAACAAAACCAAATACTTAACCTTTTTATATATTTTTCCAGTGCTGGAGACTGTACCTACGGCCTAACACTTGCAAAGAAAATGCTCTACTACTCAACCACATCTGCAGCTTTTAATTTTAGTTCATAGTTTCATATTCTTTCTCACTCTTTCCACCCTCTTGTTGTAATTGTTGTTGTAAATACTGGAATTCACAACTTGGTTGTGGTGCTCACATACCTGGTTGTGATGCTTATGCACACTTGGCTGCAGTGTATACCAGGGTTCATACACTTGTGGTCCAAGGTATTATACCCACAGTACTGGATATTGCACTCAGCAATGTGGGTCAGTGTCAGGGTCTCATGTATGCAAGGCAGGCATGCTGCCAATGAGCCAAATTCACAGGCCCTGAGCTTATATATTCTCTAGAGTTTTTTAATTTTCTGTTTGGAGCTTTCCTATACATTTTTGTCATTGTTGATGATCTCTTCCATTGATAACATTTAGTGAGCATAATGATAACCATTGTCCGCTCGAGCAAATCAATGAACAATGGGAGGACAGTGCTACAGTGCTATCATTTGCTTCCAAAACAAATGAAAACCATTGTTTTGAAGTCTTCATATGTTTTGCTATAGATGTCTAGTATTTTTAGAGTATGTTTTAAACTGATGTCTTGGGGCTGGAGCAATAGCACAGCGGGCAGGGCGTTTGCCTTGCACGCAGTCAACCCGGGTTCAATTCCCAGCATCCCATATGGTCTCCTGAGCACCGCCAGGGGTAATTCCTGAATGCAGAGCCAGGAGTGACCCCTGTGCATTGCCAGGCATGACCCAAAAAAGCCAAAAAATTTTTTAAAAAATAAACTGATGTCTTGATCTATCATGGTAGTTGAGTTTCTACATTTACCCATTATGTCTGGTGTTCCAAAGTATCTGGACAGGGGCATGAGGTCTTTTTTTTTAACTAATGTAGGTGTACTGCTATTTGTTCAGCCATTGATTGAATTGAGCATGAAATCCACATTACTTTTTAAAAATTTTATCACCGTGAGATAGAGTTACAAAACTTTCCTGTTTGAGATTTAGCCATATAATGATGGAACACCCATCCCTCCACCAGTGCACATTCTCCAACACCAATGTCCTCCCTCCCCCAACATCCAAGTCCTCACCCTGCCTCTATGGCAAACAATTTCCCTATGCTCTCTCTATAATTTTTTGATGTTTTGATCGAATTTCCCCACCACCATTTAAGCCTGCTGGGTGCAGACACTATATAATTTATTTTCCATTGCTCATTCTTTTTCCCTTTTTAATAATTTTATTTATTGAATCACCGTGAAAGCAGTTACAAAGAGTTCGAGTTTAAGTTTCTGTCATACAATGAAACACCCGTCCCTTCACCAGTGCCCAATTTCCACCACCAAAAACCCCAATATACCCCCCATCCCAAACCCTCTCCCTACCTGTGGGGCAGATGATTTCCACATTACTCTATCTCTCTATTTTGATTGCATTCAATATTTAAAACACCAGACCCACCATTATTATTTGAGATTTTACCCCAACACTCAGATCTGCCGAAAATGCAACAGTAGACAATTTGTTTTCTATTGCTGGTTATGACTAACATATGATGTCATGCAGCCACAGTAGTGGCTGCGCAATTTTGGAATTCCAAAATTTTAACAATTAAATCTGGAGGGATTTCTGCCCAAACCTGCTAGAGTCCAAAATTTATTCCTGAGTCTTTTGGATCATGGCCATTAAGCAGCTTGACCAGGAGCCAGAGAGGCCATTCGTGGGCGGCAACTCGGGGTCTCATTGGGGCGGGGAGGAAAGGGCCGGCTACACCCCCGTCCTGTGAGGTCCCTTGCGTCTTGTCACTGAGGGCCCAAACCTGACTGTCCAATGGCCTCTGGAGGATGGCAGCCACCGAGCTGCCAAGGGGGAGCAAGCGGAGGGACAGCACCCTTTCCCCCCTGGGGTGGCCCGGTGACAATAACCTACTGCAGAGACCAGACTCATTTCTGCCAAATGTCGCTGGGTTATGAGATTTGTTTCTGAGTCTCTTATACCATGGCCGTTAAGCATCTTGATCAGGAGCCAGAGAGGCCGTTCATGGGTGGCGACTTGGAGTCTCTTTGGGGTGGGGAGGAAAGGGCCGGCTCCACCCCAATCCCGTGAGGCCCTGTGCGTCTTCTCACTGCAGGCCTAAACTTGACTGTCCAATGGTCTCTGGAGGATGGCGGCCATTGAATCACCAAGGGGGAGCAGGTGGAGGGACAGTACCCTTTCCTCCCTGGGGTGATCTGCCGCCGGTAACCCATTGCAGAGACCAGACGCATCTCTGCCAAAATCTGATGGGTTCTGAGATATGTTTCTGAGTCTCTGGGATCATGGCCATTAAGCAGTTTGATCAGGAACCAGAGAGGCCTTGCCTCCAATTATATAGCTGAGCCGTAGGTGGTTTGTGGGTATGTCTCACACATACATAACTTTTGGCAGTTTACTTTCTTGGTAAACTTTGCTCCAAATTGTTGGGGTCTGGCAAAAGGCACAGCAGCAATTTTGGGGAGTCTGGAAATCTGAAGGCGCCATCAGGCTGCTGATGCACTTGCCTCACAGGTACATATTGACCTGTTGGCGGCACCCCCCGCCGTTGCCCCCTTTTTTTGGCTTTTTGGGTCACACCTGGCGATGCACAGGCGTTATTCCTGGCTCTGCACTCAGGAATTACCCTGGCGGTGCTCAGGGGACCACATGGGACGCTGGGAATTGAACCCGGGTTGGCTGCATGCAAGGCAAATGCCCTACCCGCTATGCTATTGCTCCAGCCCCACCATTGCTCATTTTGAATATTATGAGTGCTTGCATGGATGGGATTATAAATGTAAATTTCTAGATTGTAAATGATTGGATTCCAGAGACACCTCTGTATGGCACTAAAAAATTTGGGGTTCACTTGGAAGTCTCTGGGCCAGGCTGTTGGTGTACTAAGATGGCATCCGCAGGCAAATTCTGAGTATGACAGCCAGTCTGCTGGACGGTCAGGGACCTGGAGAGGGACAGCTTGATTCCTCTGCCACCATGTGGTCTGGAGATTTAGTCCTGGTACCCGCATACCAGGGGCCTTGCTTGTAGAAGCTCTTGGTTGGTAGGATTCCATCTGAAATAGACGGGAGACTGCACCTGCTCCATCTGGGATGCTCTGGTGAAATTGGCTTGGTGAAATTGGCCCAGAGAGATCTGTGGTACTATGGTGTTTTCTGGGACTCACTGCTGTGTCTCTTGGCCAGGGCTGCTGGTGTGCTAAAATGGTGCCCAGAGGCAAATAGTCCTGGAACCCTCACACCTGGGCCTTGCTTGTGGAAGCTCTAGGTCACCAGGATTCCATCTGGATACTGCACCTGCTACTGCACCTGCTCCATCTTGGGTGTCCCAGTGAAATTGACCTGGTATGGGCCGCGGAGAGATCTCTGGCACTATGGTGTCTTCTGGGACTTCTGCTGTGTCTCTGGACCAGGGCTGTTGGTGTGCTAAGATCCACATTAGAAAATTTTTTAGCAGATTACAGGGTGGCTCTGGAGTTGGTTCATGGGGTTGACTGCCAGTGCTTCCATGTGTTTTGGGAAGTGGAGGGAAGTAGCCCACCCAAACTCTGAGAAAGTGTGAAGATTTCATTTGCAAAACCCGCATACCAGAATTTTCAGCAGATTACATCTTGGTGAGGTCCGTCCTGAGACAGTGGAGTCAGGACCGGGGTATGGCGGGCATTTTGGATTGTGGAAGCAAGTATCTGCTAGGGGTTCTGCTTGGGCGGGCTACCAAACCAACCCAGCCCCCCTCCAATTTACCCCAATCTGGTCTGCCATGCGCAGGTCCTATATTAACTGTGACTTTTGATGTCTTTCGAGATTTATCTAATGGGTCTCTGAAATAAGGTCAATAAATGAGCTTGAATAGCTGAGCCAGAGGTGGTCTGTGGGTGTGTCTCCCACATACCTAGCTTTTGGCCATTTAATTTCTTGGTAAACTTGGTCCCAAGTTATTTGGGTCTGGCCAAAGGCACAACAGCAATTTTGGTGTCTCATGAAACCTGAAGGCACCATCAGGATGCTGATGCACTTGCCCAGCAGGTACAGATTTACCTGTTGGCGGCACCATACCCCCAGGGGCATGGGGTCTTAGAGCATATTTGGTGACTAGAGAATTTGTAATCCCAGCTGAGGCTTTGATTATGAGTAGACCTGGCAAATGACTGTCAATTTGTAGTTCCAAGTGCCTGGTTGTAACACCAAGTTCAAGCATACCTGGGGTGAACTGGGGATTCATAATCTTGGGTGCTGGACCTCGCAATGTCACTGAGTTAACGGGCCTGGATATTGACCAGGTATTTGAAAATCATATTGGAGTTCCCAGGGGTGCCTGTGAGCCAAAATCATTTTGGAGTTCCCAGGGGTACCTGTGAGCCAAGTTTAAGTGGTCCAGTTCACTAACCAGAGGTTTAAGGTTGCCAGTACCCAAAAGCCACTACATACATGGATTCTGTTGCACAGACCTTGGCAGTAATTGGAGAACCAGTGATGGAGCAAATTTAATAGGGGTCCAACTGACTACATAACATGTACCCTGGGTCTAGCAGTGAGAAACTCTAATTTGTCATGGGCTGACAGAGGGTTACCGCAATCATGGAACTACCTTGTTAACTTAGGGTTTGAGAGGTCCACAGGATATTTTACTTGCAGTACTTGCAGTCAAATGTAGTATGGCAGGGGCCAGGTCTATTTCTCAGTTTTGTTTAGTTTTGTCCTAGAGCTTTATTTCTACCACCAGTGTAG